CTGCTGCAGCATCGGCTGCTGCTGCAGGTGCAGGTGCAGGCGCCGCGGGGCGGGTGTGCTGAGCCTTGGGGTAAACGCCCGAAAGCAGCCACTCAGGGTGGGGAAGCTTCTCGGTGCGAGAGCTAGCACAGAGTTCGGGCACCTTTTTTGGTTTTTTTCTCCCTTATCTGAGATGTTGAGGTTGACGTGCGGCGTGCCTAGAAACAAGGCTGGCCTGGTAAGTTAGAAAAGGGCCTCTGGCAGGACGCTAGGGACGTTAAAATGTATCAGGACACCTGGGCAAAGACTGCAGCCTTTGTCTGCGGGCCCCGGTGGCATGTGGCGAGGATGCTTGCTTATTAGAGTGCGGAAGAGGATCTTGGAGGCAGCCCGCCAACACTGGCCAGTGGTTAATTGCAAGGTGCGGACAGCACACCGCGGTGATGAGAGATAAACCGAGAAAGCACATACCAGGCGCAGCAGCGGTTGGTGACTGGAGGGAAGGGAACGTTTCCCCCAATCAAAACTACTCTCGTTTCTCCCCCGTTTAACCGCGCAACCCCAGCTGTCTCCCACTTGGTATCCCTCCTCCTCCCCACTCTGAAAATTCCCTCTCCTACCAATATCTCCACCTTTTCAAATCCTATCCACTCTCCAGGGCTAAGCTTAAACATCGCCTTTCCAAAGTCTTCCGTGGAGGTCATGCATAGAATGTATTTGCTGTTGCTTCTGAGTCGTCACAGCAATTATGTCCGTTTAACATCCAAGTACTCAGTACTCACTGTTATTTCTGAATCACCACAGCAGTTATATTTATTTAACATCCGTATGCTGGGTTTTGTTCTAAAAGCATTTTCTCCTGTATTCACTTGATCCTCATTAAAGTACTGCTGTTATCACCTACATTTTACAAATGGTTGTATTTTTCCTGTGGCATTTGCTATTTGCCGACTACATAATCTTGGACAAGTTAACTAAGCCTCTTTGCCCTTCAGTAGCATTCTTGATAAAAAAAAAAAAAAAAAAAAAAAGAGTATAATAAACCCGTCAGTGGTGGCGTACACCTTTGATGCCAATACTCAGGAGGCAGAGGCAGATGGATCTCTTCGAGTTCAAGGTTAGCCCACTCTACAAAGCGAGTTCCACGACAGCCAGAGCTATTACTCAGAGAAATCCTGTCTCAAAAAACCAAAACCAAAACAACAACAACAAAAAAGAATTCAAATCTAGCCTGGGCTATGTAGCATGACCCTGTCTCAAAAAAAAAAAAAAAAAAAAAATCGCCGGGGGTTTTTGGAAAACCCCCTTTAAAAAAAAAAAAAAAAAAAAAAAAGAACTTTGAAAAATATATACCCATTAATATCATATGACTTACAAAAACTGAAGTGTGTGAATGAGGCAGGAAGATGTTTATTATAGTCTAGCTTGAGGCAATTGTTAGTTAGCTTTGTGCCAACCGTTTTATGTACAATATAATTTAGTCCTCCCAAATCCCTATTAGCAAAGTATTATTATCCTCATTTTACAAATGGGAAAACAGTCACAGAGAGGTTAAATTACCTGCCTCAAACCATTCATCTGTTCTGTGCTAGACTGGAAATGCAAACCCAGATCTCTGAAGCCTTTCCAGGTTCATGATCACCGGCTGGACTGCCCTGCTAGTGCCCTTAAGAGGACAGTGCTGAAGATAAAATAATGCACCTGTTGCAGCGAGATTGTTCAAAGAAAGATGCAGGAGAATGTCTGGGGAAAGGAGCATGCAGGAATAGGACCAATGGGAAGCATGTTAAGAGACAAATTAATGCCGGGCAGTGGTGGCGCACACCTTTAATCCCAGCACTCGGGAGGCAGAGGCAGGCAGATCTCTGTGAGTTCGAGGCCAGCCTGGTCTCCAAAGTGAGTTCCAGGAAAGGTGCAAAGCTACAGAGAGAAACCCTGTCTCAAAAAACAAAAACAAAAACAAAACAAACAAAAAAAAAAAAGACAAATTAGCAATAATTTAGATGGCTTTAAAAATACTAACAATACACCGGGAGGTGGTGGCACACACCTTTAATCCCAGCACTCAGGAGGAAGAGCCAGGAGGATCTCTGTGAGTTTGAGGCCAGCCTGGTCTACAGAGTGAGATCCAAGACAGGCACCAAAACTACACAGAGAAACCCTGTCTCGAAAAATCAACAACAACAAAAAATTGCTAACAATACTTATGTCAGGTGAACTATAATTTTTTTATTAAAATATCAGCTAGTTTAAATCTACTTTCTTCAAAGCTTCCCAAAGTTCCCCCACCCCACTTTCCAAATTAACAAATAGCTTCACTTCAGTGTTACCCTTACTGTAAGTCATTTAAGAAACAGATTTTTAAAAAATTTATTCTTGGAGAATTTCACACTCATATGCAATGAAATATGGTCATACCCACTTCCCACTTACTTCTTCCGTCTCCCTCTGGATCCCCTCAAAACACTACCCTTCCTGTTTAATTTCTTCACCTTCTTCCTCTTCCCCTTTACCTCCTCCTCCATGTCCTCCTCCTCCTCTTCCCTTCCCCTTTTAAGTAACCACTAAGTCAAGTTAGTTCCCCCATGTGTGCAGGGGTGTGGGGTTATCCATTAGAACATGCTCAACCTATTCCTGCCTGCACCCCAAAAGAAGAATGATTCCCTCTCCCCAGCAGCTAACAACTATCGATAGCACCTCAGGGGTGGGGGCCTCTCGAGCCCCTCCCCCATCTGTACTGGCATTTGCTTGTCTTGGCCTTGTGCAGGTAGCCACGGGTGCTGTAAATTCATACATGCACCAGTGTTGCTAAAATTCCATACCTGTAGGGGAGACATAAAATCCGCTCTTCCTCCTAAGATCTCAACGGTAAACCAAGGTACAGTTCCACCAGCATTCACTCCAGGAAGCCAATGAGTTCGTTAGGTTTACTTACAGAGCCTTATTGTACTGGAACATCTGCACACAACACCATGTGGAAAGACCCTGTCTCGAAAAACCAAAGTCATCCAAACCAAACCAAACCAAGCAGTTAGTTACCACACAGAAGTCATTGACTATTGGTCACCAGTGGGCCCATCTTGTCCATCAGGTTGGGGTTATAGCATGCAGGGTCTGGTGCTGGGTAAGACCACTGATGCCTTTCCTCCCCCGGCAGCCTGCCTGGCACCTTCCAGTTCCAGCTGGTCAGCAAGGAGGACATTTGACATTGATTTTATGTCCCATAGCTAAGTATGTTATGTCTTCAGCAATAGGCTCTTACCATGTGGTTATGATGGATCACCAAGAGCAAGGCAATGGCTTGAGATTTTTTAGAGACCTCTGGGCCTCCCCCCTGGTTAATGCTTCTAGGGAGGTATTCTGTGCCTCTTGTACTGCCATCTTTATTTAATAACCCATGGGTTCTGGGAACAACGTTGTCCATCCTTGCAGGATGCTTAACATTCGAACACCTTTTTAAAAATGTATTTTTAAATTACCTTACTGCTAGTGGGTTTCCACCAAGGTTTTCCACATATCCTTAATTGTGGTTAACTCCTGTCCCTTCCCCCACCCAGCCCTGTCCCAGTTCAGACCTTAACCTCCAGTGCCCCCCGACCCCTGCCTGCCATCTTCTCCCACATCACATGTGTTCTCCTGTCCCCTCCGATTATAATTCTGGACTGGTTGTGACACAGTGGGGTTCCACGTGGCTTTTTCATGCCTGCTTCCTTGGGGACACCCCTCCCCATTCCCTGATTCCCCTCCCTGCCTGAGCCTTCCATGCCCCAGGACTCCACGACTCCGCTTCTGTTTTATTTATAACCTCTCCCTTTCCCTTAAAGTGAATGTCCCTTTCTAGTTCCCCTGCTTCACTTGCGCGGAGTTAAACACACAAAACAGATGATTTGAAACTGGGATCAGCCTATGGGGGAGAATGTGCGGCGTTTGTCTTCCTGGGCCTTGGTGACCTCACTTGGTATAATTTTTTCCAGCTCTATCCACTTACCAGAAAATTTTCTGATTTCATTTTTCAGTGCTTACTTTTTGAACAAGAACAAACTACTGACACCGTGAACCTGACAGGCATTACAGTAGACGAAAGATACAAAAGATACCGGTGAATTCCAGGTATTCCAGGAGATATCTACGCTAGGATTCTGTGTATTTAAGGCAGGGTAAACTCATCTAGGTGATACAATTTCGACCGTGGGGACTGGGGGTGGGTCTGACTGGGAAGGGGTGGCAGGAACTTTCTGGGCCGATGAACGTTCTCTGTGTCTGCAGTATAGGGATGCATTGGTTACAACTTGCCAAACTATATAGACTTACTGCCTATGCATTTCACAGTTTACCAGTTACACTCCAGAATTATAAAAACAGAGACTCTCATAAGTTAAATTAATAGGCCTTTAGATGGGGGGGGGGGCACTCGGCGCGCGCGGGCATGGTAGGTGCATAGGCTTGGTTTCATCCTTGCCAGTCCCTAGACACTACAGTGTTGTATGGAAGGAACATGAGCAGCAACTTTCCCCCAGTTCTTACTCTATCTGCCGTGTCCTGGATACTTTCCAAACAGTCTGTACCTGACCTACAGGAAGGAGGGAAGGGGCTTTCTCTTTGGTAGGAGCCTGGCAAGCACTTCGGTGACTGTAGATCAGAATCTTGAGGGTCCTTTGTAGCCCTTGGTTGGTGGCACAGCGTAGCCTGAGGAGGGGGTGAGGGGTTACCGTGGAAGTAAACAATTGCAGGGTGAAGTCTCCTGGAATGCCTGGCACTTGGTGGAGGCGTGGGAAAGGTGACAGAGGGTGCTGAGCCACGTTCTTACCCATCATCCTGTGACCTTGCGCAGGACACTGTACCCAAGGCCTGCGTGGCCTCGTCACTGGGCCCAGG